AGTGATTTTTCCATTACCTATAAGACAAAGCGTAAATGTCTCTGTCTTCACAATTTGACCTTAGTGTGCCTTATTTAGTTCGGTTGTCTTTTTGCGAGTTCATTCTCTGTTTCTCCTCCCTATCAGTGCTCCCCAAGGCTCAGAAGTAAGGAGCTACTTTCCAGTCTTGAGTTTGACATGTCCTTCCCAGCCCTTTTCTTTTGCATAGTTTGTCCCTTATGCCTAGAAGGACTCCTCGGGTTCAATCTCTACCTGTCAAACCCTTCAACCCCTTTCATCTTTCAGATCTGAGGATCTCCTCTTCTGCTACATCTTCTCTACCTTTAACTTTGACTAAGGGAATTAGAGTACAATGTTGTACATGGTGTTGGTCACATCCGTCTGTTATTTGCTTAATTGATTCCTCCATTAGACTGTGAACTCCTTGAGGGCAAAGATCATGCCTCATTTATCAGTGAATTTCTGTTACTTAACTCAGTATTAGCAGAGTCTCACTATATAGTTATTGAATTAACAAAATAACATAAATTGGGGTTCTTTATACTGAAAGGGTCTGGCAACTTTCCTATGGGCCCTTCCTGGTTTTCATGATTGATATTCTCTTTAAGATACTGTCCTGCCCCTCTCCGAATCTAAGTGAAAGGGAAGGGAAGGGAGAATAAGAATATTCAAGGCAGTGTTGACGATTACAGCTGAAACCTGCTTTGATTTTGTACCCAAACTGAGATGTTCCAGAGTGTTTTCTTGACTGTCTGCACCAACGAAGAGCATTTCACATCATCTCACTGAAGGCAAATAAATCCATTGCATCTGGTAGTTAAACATTTTAATAGCTGAACGTATGCTCATCCTTTGTTAAGTTTTACTATCTACGCAACCTGGCATTTTTTTTTTTTTTTTTCACCACAGCACTTTCAAGAATATATGCCTTTTTAAAAATTATTTACTTTAGGTTTTAGTTATGTAAAGGAAGATTATTTTAGAAAAAATATTTTTTCTCTCAAATCCTATTATATGTAATTGATTTACATTAAATATTACCCACTAGAATTCCGAGGATATAGCAGTTAGAAATACTAATGTTGAACGCTCAACATAGTGACTGTCTTAGTGTTTTAAATGGGGTATCCTATTTAATTCTCACGACAGCTCTGAGAAGAGGTGGGTGTTATTCTCCTATTTTTTAGAAGAGAAAAACAGAAGCATAGACAATTTAAGCAACTTGCCTGCATCATACAGCTGAGCCGTTCAAGATCACAGCCTGGATTGGGGTTCAGGCAGTCTGACTCCAGAGCTCACACTCACAATTACTACAGCTGTGGAGAATATAATTTAGAACTAAAGTTCTATTCTACCTGAAAATCAGAGGTCTGCCTGTCTGTCATAGTCTTACAGTTCCTTTAAACATGTTGGATCTTCTTCTTTGAAATCATGGCTTCTATGCCCACATTTTTGTTCTGTCACCCTCCCATATGCCACTGGTAAATTGTATTCTAATTCCCTTTTGCCTCCTTCTTTGGGACAATTTCATTGCTGTTTCATGAGCAGTGCACCATGGATGTGTCTCATTACAGCTCCTCTCCTTGATCAAGTGTGTTGATGCTGAGATACAAGTATCAAGCTGATACCAAATGTACGCCTGCATTTATTCTTGCACCCAAAGAATGGGAAACTGTAATTTTAGGTAAAAATAAGGGAATAGGGTATGCATTTATTTTTTAAATTTCTTTTAGATTAGGGAATAAATATATAGGCTTTGTTAAGGACAATGCTTATTTAATTAGGCAAGGGCAGATTTGGATATTTGACCAATCAATTAGATTTCAATGAACCACTCCCCTACACGCGCACACGTGCGCGTGCACGCGCACACACACACACACACACACATACACACCATGTACAAACTAGACACTGAAGCCAAAAGATCTGTACTGGTCTTCTCAATTAATGTTCATTTTAAATTTTATGTTATAGATACTTGGTGTTACAGAAAAATATATTTTGAGCTGTTTATATTAGTTTTGTTATCATGATTATTATATAGTAACTATGGAACTATGAAGGATTATGTTTTTGATATTAAAATAACAATTGTCCTATAGAAGACTGACTTCATTATCAGGCAGAGAGGATAGGTGGATAGCTTCATGTTTTTCTCTTTAAGAAAATGTATATGTTTCTATGCATCGTCCCCTTCCCCAAAGAATATTTCCCTCTCCATTTCATCCCTTTAAGACTCAATATTGAGTTCTTGTTAAAAGAATGGATTTAGATAAAACAACTGTTTTGCTATTATGAGTCACATACTGTTTGAGTGTGATCCATTTCTGGAATGATGTTTTGGCATGGAGAGAATCTATAAACAGCAAACAATTTAGGTGCTGGCAAAAGAGGAGAGGGCGATTCAAAGGGTGAGCAGAAATGAAGGGGACGTATCTAGAACAAAAAGAAAGTTGACAGCAAAGACAACTGTCTCACAATTCCTGATATTTGCCCCAAGATCCATAATGGCCCATCTGATAACGATCTTTGATTCCACACAGAAGATTTGTTCATTTTGGTTAGGGGATGTGTTTAACAGTTTCAGGAGTGACTGAGCATGAAGCTGGTCTGTGCTTCCATTTGATGTGACTCCATCCCTAGCATTATCCGTTTTTCTCTGTGCCACACCCCATCCCTAGGATCTGTTTCTCCACTGGTCATTTGTCTTTCCTTCATTAACTTCTGTGCACAATAGCCTCTGGATCTTTCTACAAGGGCATTGCTATTGTTTTGGGCATCAACTGGACTGAGGCTAGGAGCCTGAAATAGTTGACATAGCTTTTGAATTAGCCCACCCTACCTTTTAGTCTTGGTTTTTCAGGGTGCAGTCATGGGACATCAATCCATGATAAACCTCATTTTCTCTCAGAGGCAATGAATTTATGTGGGGCTAAACTTACAGGATTTCTTAAGCTCAGCACTAATGGAAGAGACCAGCTTTGACTGGTATTTTTTCCCAGGTGGGATATATCACTCACATTGGCTCAGTTTGAAACGGGGGAAGAAGAGACTGTTTGCTGGCTGGTAGCTGGTAGTGAAGAGCTCACTGATCCTACAGAATTTTTGAAAAGGCGGTATGACAAAATCTAAATGACTTTGTTCTAGCTTAGATAACCAAGGTCCTCTGCATTTATATTCTGGGGAAACCATCCCATGCAGGATCTGAGTACTTGGTTGTGTAATCAGGAGCAAAGCTGCTCTCAGGCCAGACCTCCACGTATACCACCGAGCTGCCTTCTTTCTCTAATTGTCTTCACCTATCAGCTCGGGATTCATAATAATGGCTAAATTGAATCGAGCCATTCCCACATGCCAGCCACTGTTCTAAAGGTGTTACATGTCCTAGGTCCCTCCATCTTCACAGCAGCCCTATGAGGTAGACCCCATTATTACCCTCGCTTTACAGATGCAAGAAACTGAGGCAGAGGGAGGTTAAATGACTTGACCGAAGGCATGCAGCTGGGAAATGGCAGAGCTAAGCGTTGATCCCAGGGAGCCTTGCTCTGAAGGTTATGCTCTTACTCTCCAGGGGTTAGGACAGAGTTCTCCTAGCACGCGTGACTGAATAAAAGGGCATTCTCAGGCCAGGGTTGTACGCTAACAAGAGGCCTTCACAGCTAAGTCTATAGCGAGGTCCCTAGAATGCAGGTTTATTCCTGGTGGGCCTGAATTTTAAAAGCTCTCCAGGAATGACCCCTCATTTTGAGACCAGTTTGGAAGGAGACTAGAGGGTCCAATTAGGCTGCTGAGTGATAGTCAGTCTCATGTCCGAGGGAGGATTCCGAACTGGTTCTGAGGGGCCTGGCGATAGAGGTTTGTTATGAAACTTGACTTTTAATGGGCAGCTGGGGACTGTCTTCAACAGCCTTACCCTAGAACAGCCAGCCCTAGGGATGTATCTGTATTGACCTGTTTGGTTCCTAGGAGTCCTGACTGTGCTCCCTCCTGTCCTTGAGCCCTCCATGTCAGGGTCAGCAGTCACTACTTGAAGCCGATGAGGCCATTGTGGAAATGCATTGGTTTCTTGACATAGGTGCTTCTGTAAGGAAATGCTTGTGTAACTACACAAGTGCAGATTTGGCTGCTTGGTGAATGACATTTAGAGTTCCTCCGAAACCCGGGGCTAGTTGGGGGATCTCATTGTTTCTAAAGAGGCAATAATAGGGTCCCAGAGGGACGATTTCTGAATGTGACACTCACAGTCCAACCTAAAGTGGCTTCTCTGTCATTGATCACATGGTTTTGTTTTTTGTTTGTTTGTTTTTGTTTTTGTTTTTTCTTTTCTAGATTGATAATTATGTATAGGACATTGTATGTTAGATGTTTTTATTTATATCTCTTTTCCTAGACCACATTTTAAAATTCTTAAGATAAAAAAAATCTATCTTATGCAATATGTTCTGTACTTATAATAGGTGGTGATAAAAGTTTTGTTTTGACAAGTTAAAATACACGAGTCTCTTAGCAAAACCAAGTTTTTTAACATGATTGTGAGATGGACTAATAAAAGTCTATAGGATGTTGGTTGACATATTTCAGAGAATCATACAGTTTTAAAGCTTATGGTAATTTTGAAGTAGAAAAATCACAATGACTTATATAATTTTTTTAAACGTATTTATATTTTAGTGCTAAGATATAATCATTTCAGTTTGCCTTGTGTTTGAATTCAATTTGATTGATTAACGTGATGTGGCCTTTTGCTCATCAAAGCCAATGTTTTCACAGTCTTTCAGTTATGTTTTGTGTATTTTTTATCCACCTACACTTCCTCTCACCCATCATTATGTAAAAATAGAAGTGGCATTTTGTTATGTATTAATAAATATTAGCCAGATGCTCAAGGTACCTGAGGCAGTGTCATCACTGAACTCTGAGTCTTTGAAAAGGCTTTGCTCTGTGTTGGATGCTCTCAGATACAGAGATGTAAATACTGTTTTCCATTCTGTTTTCAGGTCACATGTGCCAATTTAACCAATGGTGGAAAGTCAGAACTTCTGAAATCAGGAAGCAGCAAATCCACACTAAAGCACATATGGACAGAAAGCAGCAAAGACTTGTCCATCAGCCGACTCCTGTCACAGACTTTTCGTGGCAAAGAAAATGATACAGATTTAGACCTGCGATATGACACCCCAGAACCTTATTCTGAGCAAGACCTCTGGGACTGGCTGAGGAACTCCACAGACCTTCAAGAGCCTCGGCCCAGGGCCAAGCGAAGGCCCATTGTAAAGACGGGCAAGTTTAAGAAAATGTTTGGATGGGGTGACTTTCATTCCAACATCAAGACAGTGAAGCTAAACCTGTTGATAACTGGGAAAATTGTAGATCATGGCAACGGGACATTTAGTGTTTATTTCAGGCATAATTCCACTGGTCAAGGGAATGTATCTGTCAGCTTGGTGCCCCCTACAAAAATAGTGGAATTCGACTTGGCACAGCAAACCGTGATTGATGCCAAAGATTCCAAGTCCTTTAACTGTCGCATTGAATATGAAAAGGTTGACAAGGCCACCAAGAACACACTCTGCAACTATGATCCTTCAAAAACCTGTTACCAGGAGCAGACCCAAAGTCATGTGTCCTGGCTCTGCTCCAAGCCCTTCAAGGTGATCTGTATTTACATTTCCTTTTATAGTACAGATTATAAACTAGTACAAAAAGTGTGCCCTGACTACAACTACCATAGCGACACACCTTACTTCCCGTCCGGATGAGGCTGGACAGGAGGTTGAGACTGAAGCCTGAGGAGTTAAAGGTCATATGACAGGGCTGTTACCTCAAAGAAGAAGGTCACATCTGTTGCCTGGAATGTGTCTACACTGCTGCTCTTGTCAACTGGCTGCAAATACGCTAGTGGAAAACAATCTGATGTAATTTCTGCCCAGTCAGCTTCATCTCTCAGTCTAGTTGTAAATCACCACAGGTTTTGAAGCCACACTTGAAGACATGCTCTCACACATAGATGTACACAGACACACACTTATACACATTTCAGCTTGCATCTGTCACGATTCCTGTCGAGAGGGCTGTCATTGTCTGACTCATAATGGTTCAGGATAAAATCTCATCAAGCTAAAGGATTAACTTGACAGTGAATGGTTTTCTAACACTTGCTGTTGTCGAAATCTCTTTTTAAAGTCTTGAGTACATGCTAATCAATAGTCCCCACTCATGCATTCCTACTGCTTGGAGTAGCTGTACTGGTAAATACTACTGTAGGAGTATATGCTTGTTAAAATGGAAAAAAAAATTATGTCTTTAGAGCTCAGTATTCTTTATTTTATGAACAAGAACAAAGTGTAGTAACTTTTTTCCAGCAAACAGTAGGCACATTCAAGGTGATCCAAGATGGCTCTTTTTTTCTATGCAGGGAGCCTGTTCTCAGTAAAGATGAGCAAACATTTGGAATTTACATGTGGGCAGACACTGGAGTACAGCTTTCATCACCCACCATTGGACTTTTGCAAAGCTGAGACCAGCTAAAGCTGCTTAAAACAAGTTCTGATACTTATATAAGAAGGGAAATGCCTGACAGACACCATGTAAGTTATAAGTGTCTGTCTTATCTTTACTACACATATTGTAACAAATTCAATATCCTAGTCTTCATTTGTATGAATGGTTTGTATTGTATATAGTTTAACCAAGTGTTATTTGAGCTGCTTATTAATATTAACTTGTACTTGTCTCTCTGCTTGTTATTGGTTAAAAAAGAAAAAAAAAAAGGATATGAGGAATCCATTTTATCAATGTAGCTGTGAATTCCATTAAAAAAAGAAATGTACAAAGCATTTATTCAGCTCAAGTATTGTTGAAAGCTATACATATACAACATTACAGTCTGTCTGTATTTAGATATTTTATTTCTGGACAAAATGAAATGTACATAAAAATAAAATGCTTAAAGTTGAGTTTCAATATGTGCTTGTGTAGGATGATGATTTAAATGGTTCTGACAAGAAGAATGTGTTGGAATACAATTATGGTTTTGCATCTCATATCTCCAAATGTGTACAGAACTATCTAAATTGCTATTAGTTGCCCAGTCAAAACAAGTTAGGAGTTTGCAGCTCGAGGCTGGAAAGCAGTTGTGGCATACAGTATTGCACACAGTTTTGGTTTACTGTCATGCTAATTATTCAAGAATACCAAAAATCAATGAACATAAGAAAATAATTGAGGTCTCCTAAATTAATTATAACCAGATAACCAGTTGGTTTTTTCCTTGCATAGAGTCCTTACTTAGCAGAGGGATTGAGAGGAAGGTAATGTCTTTTTCCTTAAAAGAAAGTCAAGGTATCTGAAGATTGTGGCTGACAGTCTACTGTAATGACTCAACCGAGAAAATGACAAGTGTAGTGGCAGGCTTCAGTGCTCAAGTTACCTGTACCCAGTGAGATCAACTCACCTGGACAGCACTGTTGGTAGACATTAAATGTTCTTGTTAAAAATAATTACTGTATGCCATCCCAGCAAAATAAACAAAAGAAGAAATAGTTAAGGTAACTCATTTTTAAAGGCATTGAATTGGAGATTGGGATATGAAGAGTTTCAAAGGTCAACCAAAAAAGCCAAATAAAGAGCACTAACCCATTCTCGTCTTCCCTTCATGCTGCATAAGGATAAATATGTTTTCATGTAGAAAATAACAGAAGGTATTACAGGGAACCCAGAACCACAGAGTTCTGAAGTGAGAACCCGGTGACTGGTTTAACTAATGAGAGCCTTCAACGGCAAGTCAAAGATATATCGTCCTGCTAAATGTCCATCTCTCAGAATTCTCCAATATGACCAGACAACCATTTATATCAATGTATTAATTAATTTGCCATGGGATTTAGAAGCTAATGTTCAAACAGACTCTCTAGCACAACAGGCAAAAAGAGCTTCGTGAGTTCCAGCTGCTACACTTATTTTCCACAGATAAATCTTGTTATTCTGGGGTTTATTTATCAGAGTGATCACTTCGGAGTTTGTTCTCTCTTAGCAAAAAGGGAAATAAGAGAGAAAGGAAAGTAAAAAAAAAAAATTTAGGATCATTTGACTGGTGGACCATGACTTCCATTATGTGGTCTAATCTGTCCTTTGGTTAGCCAAATCCAAGATGAGATGAAAATATGCTTTAATTTCTACTTGTCTGCCCTGCTCTCTAAACTCTTCATGAAGTGTTTATTTTAAAATTTTATAAGCATTCAGAACGTAGATAACTAACATTCAATGAACTGAGTTATTTTTCTGTAGAAGAAAAATAAACATAAAAATAAAACATAGCAAACTTCCAATCAGGTTTTCAATTTTTAAAAATCCAATCTTTCAGGACTTTTATTTTCTGAGCCTGTACACACTTCTCCTAAGCTCTTCATTATCAATGTCTCCATCTGTAATATAGGAAAGTTATGATAGTACAGAACTTTGATTCACAAGATAATGTATTCGGATCCAGTATACTCCTCCTGTTTTAGACAAGGAAGTGGGTGAAGGAAGATGATGGATATGAAGGTTCAAAGGTTCAAATACAAACTTTATTAGGGCAGCTTGTTGCTTCAACAAACTGGTTAAGTTTTTTTTTTGTTTGTTTGTTTTTTAATTCTCACCCGAGGATATTTTTCCATTTATGTTCGGATAGAGTGGGAGGGGGAGAGAGAGAAACATGGATGTGAGAGAGACACATCGACAGGCTGCCTCCCGTGTGACCCCGACCAGGGTGGGGGACCAAACCACAACCGAGATACCTGCCGTTGACCAGAACTGAACTCGCAACTCTGGTCTGAGGGCCGACTCTCTAACCACTGAGCTAAACTGGCCAGGGCAAAACTGGCTAAGTTTTAACTATGCTAGAAAATCATTTGTCATTTGGAAAAAGAAACTGTATGTAACACTAAGGAAATCATCACCTTTCCCTAGAATCTCAGATGCTATTTCACACCTTAGCTAAGACACAGGAAAAAACTTCAGGGTGGAAATAGATGATATCTAATACGAACATGGGTTTGTCATTACCTATTGTTCGTTTCAGAAACATTGTAGTAAGATTGAAATTATGAAGAAATGATTATTGCAGTTTTTTGCCTCATGGAAGAAAAATTATACGTTATCAGTGTATCTATTTATGACAAAAAAACAATGAATTGTCATGGTATAGTTATAATTGGGCATTTTTTGGGGTCCATGGCTCTTGTGAGAATTTCTCTGCGTGAGTGGAGGGTATAAACTGTTAATAGTTCAGTGCTAAAGATCTGGAAATTATTATTCTGCAAGTGATTGAGATACTTGTTATATTTAAAACTGTGGCGTGGGAATTTTCAGGTTCCTACATTTCAGCAATAAACTGTAAGCCATATTTTTGCACAGACTAGATTAAAAAAATCATGAGAAGCCGAAGGAAGTGTTTGTCTTTTCGCTTTTCCCCACTGCTTTACATGTAAGAAGCAGCTTAACCAATAAAAACAGCTCTTTGGTAAAGCAATTTGCGTCTCTGCCATCAACTTTGAATGCCAAGTTTTAGCCTGAAGCAAATTCCAATGGCTGTGTTTATAAACCTTTGAAAGACTTGATTGATGTTCCAGTTTCAGACGTTTATTGATATTTATTCCATTATCAACCTATTTTATATATCTTTTCATTTTAAATAAAATGCAAATCAGTTTATGCATTCAAAAATTAAACATTTAAAAACATTCGTTTGCATAAAAATAATTACTATTTACCTAGTTTGTAGGTGACAAAAATTGAGAACCTTAATAGCCAGAACTGAATCCTGAAAAACAGCTAGGTCACGCTTTTCTCAGGAGTCCCATGTGTATTAAAGAAGGATTTCAGGGGTTAGGAGCATAGAGAAAACAATGTTTCTTAATAAAAACTTACAGCATACCATTGAGTTTTATATCCATTTCTATCAGAAATATTAAAAAAAAATTTATTTTCTTTATTGATTTTAGAGAGAGAGGAAGGGAGGAGAGAGAGAGATAGAAACATTGATGAGAAAGAACATCAATTGGTCACCTCTTGCATGTCCCCCACTGGGGATCAGGCCCACAACCTGGGCATGTGCCCTGACCAGGAATCAAACCAGTGACCTCTTGGTACACAGGTCGATGCTCGACCATTGAGCCACACCGGCCAGGCTCAGACATATTTTTAAGTAACACATTTATAATTTTCTTTTCACTAGGATGGCAAAGAACAGAAATCCCATGAGAGAGTTGCAGTTTTAGTTTGTTTGTGTGAGCAAGGTCTAGAAAAACAGCCTAGAATTAGGAGAGACTGCTATTGCCAAGCAGCTGGCCAAGTGTCCCCAGTGTGATCAAAAGCAGTTTCATATTTATGGTTCTGCATTTGCAGGAATATGCCTTTGATTACTGATGAATTGGAGAATGACTTTAAGGGTCCCAGAAGTGATGGACGCAGAAGATTTGCAGACCTTCTGTCCGTGGCTGTTGCCATTGCAGTTGCTATGGGAGGTGCCAGGTGTTGGTTCTCCCAAATTCTGACCAGTGAACTAGACGTACAGCTAAAGCTCTGTTCACATCCTACACCCCTGGCAGGTGCTGGCTTTCTAGCTCCTAATTCTATGTCAGGCCTCCAAAGAGACAATTAGAATATTAATGTTCTCTGATGATCAAATTCCTTGACTCAAATGCAGAAGTAAACTGTATTTGTATTTAAAGAAATAATGCAATACTCTCAACAATAAAGATCATTAAAAAAAAAAATGAAAGCTGTCAGAATGCTGCTATTGCCAAGTAAGTATTTTTCAAAAAGCAAAATATTATTTATGTTACTGCTTTAGTTTACTCCATCAATTTTCTGAAATGCAATTTTATTTTATTATTAAAATTAATTTCTTTTTTGCATTTAAAAAAAGTTTTCAGAAGATAGCATAGTCAAATGGCATATTGTAAGCAGGTTGAAAATATTCTGTGGACTTTTAAAAATGTACTATAATTGATTTAACATATTAGTTTCATTGTACAACATAATGATTAAATATTGTATATATTGTGAAATGATCACCACAGTAAGTCCAGCTAACTTCCATCACCATACATAGTTACAAGATATTTTTTCTTAAGAGGAGAACTTTTAAGATTACTCTCTTAGCATGTTTCAAATATATAATGCAGTATTATTAACTACAGTCACCATACTATATATTACATATATAGTAACATATATGTAATATATAGTATATACAGTAATATCCCTTCCCCCACCAATCTGTTTTTTTGTATCTGTAAACTTGTTTTTGTTTGTTTTTTGATTCCACATATAAGTAGGCCATTCAATATTTCTCTCTCTCTCTCTTTTTTTTTTTATCCTCACCCGAGAACACTTTCCCATTTTTTATTCAGATAAAGCAGGAGAGAGAGAGGGAGAGAAACATTGACGTAAAAGGGACCCATCGAGTGGCTGCCACCCACACCACCCAGCCAGGACCGGGGACAAACTGCAGCCGAGGTACATGCCCTTAGCAGGAACCGAACCCAGGTCTCTGTGAACCACAGGCTGACGCTCTAATCACTGAGCAAGACCAGCCAGGGCTGCTGCCTTTTTTTTTTTTTTTTTTACTTATTTCACCTAGCATAATGTTCTCATGGTCTATCTACCAATAAATAATAAAAGGAAATTGTCCTTTTAACAGACAAAAAATTATATTCTAATTTTGTATCAGTATACTTTTGATATTAAAACTCCTTTTTACAAGTTAATTTTGGCAATACCCATCCAGATATAGAAAAATATCATATACCTATAATATACTTATACAGACACACATAAACATACAGAGAGATGCAAACAGAAACCTTACAGTTTTCGTTCTAAAATTTTAGCCATGAGTCAGGCACAATACAAAACGCACTAGTTTATAAAAGAATAGTTGGAACAGAATTGTGGTTCTGGTAGATAGACAAAG